ATTTCCATAATAGAAAAAAATGGTTAAAAGGTAAGTATTGTAGCAGCAGAACTCCAGATGCGACGTTAGGCACTGCCTCCCTCCCAGCATTTCTGGGGAAGAAGGTATTTGCTATGTTCCTCAAGCCCCATAGAACAGCAACCTGGATCAATCCACACCTGAAGTCCACCTGCCTGCTGCTCTCCCTGCCTGTAGGCATCCACTTGCCAATTCTTTTTGTCATAAGAACTGCAGCTGTCACTAAAATTTATACATATTATTCAATTATTTTACTAAGAGAACTTAATAAAAATAAATGAGAACCTTATAAAAATAAATACATCGCAGCACTAGTCATAATAACTGTGATGTGGGAACAGTCTAAATGTCCAATTATAGAAAAATGGAGAAAACAATATGACACACACACACAGAGTGAAATATTATTCAGCCTTAAGAAGCGTCTGCTGTGCGACACCATGCCTTCAGAACCCTGTATTGCACCCTGAAGAATCTTTTAAGAGGGTAGCCCTCATGTTAAGTGTTCTTACCATAATAAAATAAATCAGTGCAAAATATGCCTTTTTTAGTAAAAGCAGAGAATGTTCCATAAAATAGGTATGATATTAAAACATATGCCCTCAAACCTGAAAACTGGTTTGTGCTTTTAGTCTCTGCGTGCCCACACACATGCACGCACATGCAGATGATCTGCCTTCAACAACATGTTACAGTTACTCATTTTAATATTTACATATTCTTCGGTGTTCTTGCAGCATACAGAAAGAATATCTTTTCTATAATGAGGCAAACTGAGGGGAGGCAGGTTGCTTTTCAGCTCAATGTATATTCCTTGGCACCAATGCAAGATTCAGCCTGTAAGTACTCCCTGACACTTGACATTTCATAGCAGACCTTGCTATTACACTGCCGTTTTCAAAGCTCTTATCTATAACAGGTGGTCTTGCTACTCTTTTGATAGTATTTTATAGTTTATTTTTGGATAAATGTAAAGCATGCTTCTCAATCCTTCCTCTTCCCTATCTAAGGAATGCTAGACTGAATTCCCTTTAAAAAACAAAAAAAAACTTTTTTCTCTTCTTTGGGTCTCTACCTACCCTAGTCTCACCACAAGAATTACAGCAATAAAATAATAATTTTTTAAATGTATCAACCAAAATGGCTGCTTTCCCAAAACTCAAAAAGAACTGTGGTGTGTGGGTAGCCTATGCTATTCTCTCTATTAACCATGCAGTCAAGGACTAAATACGACCGGTTTCTCAGAAATCTCTTTGCTTGTCAGTATCATGGTAATGATTCAAGAACAGTTAGTCTAAACGCCTCAGACTTTTCTAAACACATAGCTGATGCCATGTTCTTTTCCATTTTATGAGCTGCTGTTGACATTGAGATTTTCCACATCCTCAGAGCCGTTATGTTGGAAGGACTGGCTATTTTAGTCAGTATGAGCTGCTCTGACAAAAACGTGCCTAGAACATCCTCTGGTGGCGATAGTGGGAATCATCGTTTTTGGACTTAACTAAAGGTTCCTTGTTCAGCCCCATTCTGCAGGACTGACACAAGGAAACATTCCCATGACTGACACTTCCGGAAAACACACGCAGCCTAGAGAAACAGCCTACTTTGAAGACGTTACCACAACCCTGCCACATAACTGGGCGTTCTGCTGCGGAAGCTCTTAACACAGGATGGCACTGTCTCCCCACAAGACTTGCTTCCCACTTTTTCCACCACTGGTGTAAATCTGGAAGTGAAAAGTAAAGAGAACTTACAAGTCTGCTTCTGAAAGACAAAGTCTCACATGATACCTCTTTGCCAATTTCCACAAACACAGATTATTAACGTGTTGCTTGGATTTCTTTGTCATGAAAATTAAAGTTTCATGAAAGCTGTTCGATTGTGACAGTTTGAGGCAAAAGCTGAAAGATGACATTTTCTTTTCTTTTTTTTTTTTTCATTTTTCTTTTCTTTTTTTTTGAGATGGAGTCTTGCTCTGTCACCCAGGATGGAGTGCAGTGGTGGGATCTTGGCTCACTGCACTGCAACCTCCACCTCCAGGGTTTAAGCGATTCTCCTGCCTCAGCCTCCTGTGTAGCTGGTACTACAGACACACGCCACCATGCTCAGCTAATTTTTGTATTTTTTAGTAGAGACCATGTTTCACCATGTTGGCCAGGGTGGTCTTGATTTCCTGGCCTCGTGATCCACCCACCTCGGCCTCCAAAAAGGTGACATTTTCTAACTGATGTTTGTGGTCCTCAGTGCTTTGCTTCAAAACTGCAAACTCCATAAAGACCCTTTTTTGTCCCTCCCCCCTTCGGACGGTAAATTATACAAATCAGTAAACAATGACAGCTTTCTGGAGTGGGAAGAGTAAGGTGTCAATTCTGAATTAATTAAGCTTATGTGGCAATCAAAACTGGCAAATTGGGTGAGAAGCAATATCCATTTAAACCTGTGACATGAGCCACTGAGAACATCCTGCCTCCTGATACAGGCCACGTGTTCTTTGTGTTTTATTACACATCACAGAATGAATTAGATCTAATGAGGCTGGCTTGTGTGGCTAATTTCTTTAATGATTTTGATTAATGTAAAGTTAAAAGATGTGACACATGACTGTCTGCAGAATATGATGCTAATGACATTTGATGGGTCAACTGGCTCCCAGAGACATCATCATCCACAGGAATTACTGCTGTGTAAATATTTCCTTTGCAAATTCTTTAGGATGTAAAGAAGGTTAATGCGAACGTATTTTTCTGATTCATGGGCTAGACCCCTAAACTTAAGGCAACAATTGGTTGAAAGTAACAATACTGTGATAAAGACGGAAGTATCCGTTGCTCTCTCTGGAACAAAATAGATTCGCTGACAGCATTTCTGAGACAACGCATCACTCTCCACCACTTGCCACTATTACTGATGGGGCCTTCAATTTCAAGAAACAAAAGCTGAACTCTGGCTAGAAGAAGCCTAGAGGAATCTATTAGAAAAATCTGGAAAATATCTCAGTTCTGGAGGGAAGACTGTAGAACCCAGCTTGGAAAAGTCAAGAAGCAGCTACTCAGATCCTTGCTCAAGACGGCGGACAGAGATTGAGGGATCCCTCTGGCTTCCCTCACAGCAGAGCAGGCACTCGAATTTACCATCCCACTCAGACTGGGCACAGTGGAGAAGTATTTCTCCAAAAAGAAACTGGATAGAGAAGGGGTAACGTGGCGCAGCAGCTCGAGTCTGTAATTCCAGCACTTTGGGAGGCCAAAGAGGGTGGATCATGGAGTTAGGAGTTCAAAACCAGCCTGACGAACATGGTGAAACTTCATCTCTACTAAAAATACAAAAATTAGCCAGGTATGGTGTTGGGCGCCTATAATCCCAGCTACTCAGGAGGCTGAGGCAGGAAAATTGCTTGAACCCAGAAGGTGGAGGTTACAGCGGAGATGGTGCCACTGCACTCCAGCCTGAGCAACAGATCGAGATTCCATCTCAAAAAAAAAAAAAAAAAAAGAGGGAGAAGGGATAATGCATGCTGGGTGACCAGAAAGAGTGAAACTGCCCGTTACTCAAGCCATAGTCACCCGTCTGCCTTGGCGTGCATTTCTTCAGCTGGTCCTGGATATGAAGCACTGTAAGCTATATACCATGTAACTCCACTTGAAATCCTTTCTGTGTACACTTTAAATATCTTGGCTTTCTTCTTGTAGATTTTCAAAATTGTAATTTTGTTGTTAATCCTAAGGCGCCACAAGTTTTCTGAGAAACCAACGGATAAAATTTTCATCTGAGGCTTGCTTCACAATTTGGGGTTGCAGGCAAAAGCGGAGAAACCAGAAATGACAACTCTCTTGTTTGACAAAAACAGTCAAAAGTCACTGCTGACTCATGCACTAGAACCCGGAAAGTGGTAGGGCCCAAGGTCCTATCCAAGAGAGTTGGAGTTCATGGAAGGGTTCCCATCCACCAGAGAGCCAGAGCACAACACCAGAACCAATGCTAGGGACGGAGCTCGCACAGAGAGCTTTGAGTAAGACTCACCTCAAACACCAGATACTGAGACCCAGAGCAGGACCCTAAGGCTAGTGCAACCCTGTTGGGAGGAACTGGATTTGAATACACTCCCTAATGTGGCCTGTTGTGGCCATACAGGACCGCACAGAGCTGAGCTTACAGAAGACAATTCCTCAGTTTAATGGCTGCAAAGCACTACATTTGCAAAGTAATAATTTCTATGTGTGATGGCATCTCCAGAAGGCAGGTGACCTTCAAAATGGTGCTATTATCCTGCTATTCACAGTCATGTAGCCCAGATTAATGAAGTCAGAAAAAAATACAGCCACAGTATCTATTCAGTCTTGTTCTCCCTACCCAATTCTCCAAGGAATAGGAAAAACATTTGAGTTCACTGAGGGAATAGAGGGAATGGGATCTCATAATTTCCTAGCAAGAAAGAGGTGGAAAGTGCAAAGCAAACTGTTCACTTGTTACTAGGTTGGGATGAATTAAGTAACCTTACCATGTTTTTCTGTATTATCTTTATTGTTATTATTTAAATAACCATAAATAATATTTATCAGGGCCATTATACATTTAATCCAAACATTGCCTAACAAAGATTATTATGTGCACCTCAGAAAAATGACCCTCAAGGGTGGGGAGAAGGGTGGAAATGTGATGAAAAGCAAAGCGATTACAGAGGTCTGTCCTGGAATATGCTCGCATGGAAAATATTAGGAAAGAATCTGGAAAACTAATTGCATTCATTCCTAGTGAGCAGAAACTATGCTGGGTGTTTTCAGTATCACTTATCATAATTTATCATTAGGAGTGACAGTAACACAAATAGTGACGGTTACACTTTATTTCAATCTAATTAGCTGATGTTTTCCTAATTCAGATTATGAAATATGTATGTCCTCTAAACTTAAATAGGATTATAAGAATGTAGAAATGAAGTCACATGATTCCTGCCCTCAAGGAGATAATTATCTATTCTACAGATATATCCTCACTACAAGGCTGAGTGTAAGCAGGCGATAACCTCAAATATTAAACGAACAAAAAGAAGACCATCTACATGGAATATGACACCCTCAGAAACATGGAACATGAAACAGCTTCTCCAAGACTTCTTATTTGGTAGGAAAACTTTTCTAACAGAGAACTTCATGTATTCATTCTTATTCTCCCTTACATATTATGAATGAAACAGTACCCTTCATACAAGTAGACTTCAAACTTCACTTTGCATAAGGGCAATCTAAAAGATGGTAAACATGCAGTTGCCACCCCAATTCCTAAGCATCTGATTCAAGGGGTCTATAATTTTAATATGTACTCAAGGTGAATGGTGAGTTTGACCTGGGTCCTTGGACCATTCTTTGAGAAATATCATTTAGACATTGTTACTGTTCAATGTCCTTCAAATATTTTACCCACTAAAACTGCTAAAGTGAGGTTATTAGGTTTTGGTAAAATCTCGTTAAATACTTTAAAAAGATACTGCCCTCCCTCTAGAAGGTATCTACTCACTATCTCTCTCTGGTAAAACCATGCTAACTTTGCTTACTTTTTTGGCTAGGTATGAATATGGCCACATTTCACTAAGGCTAACGAAGAATTCTGAGATGAGCTTAGAAGAGAGAAAGTCACACACCTTAAGATATCATTTGCCCACAAATCATACTTTGAGAAGTGGACATGTTTAATATCACAGGATTTAAGAGGGACAGACATAGACATTTTTACTTCTTTGCATTTCATTTCACATTTTATGTGCTACTTTAACACTGTATCAGAAAAATTATCAGGTTTATATGATCATTGAGTTGTTCTTAATAAACGCATGCTGCCTATATCTCAATTCATTTGACTGTAGAATTCTGAATAGACTATAAAAACAAATTCTAGAATTAATGAACTAAAAAAGTATCATTAATTGAAGTACAAGCATTTATTTCAATTAAAGAATGTCACAATATTTAGTTTACATCTCACAGCTACCATCATAAATCTAATCAATGGCATAATTTATACTGAAGAGCAATTTGAATAATTTAATACACTGTATTTAATGCTGGTCATTAGATGTAATTGCAAATGTATACTATTATAAATGCAATATGTGCTGTAACATTGTTTATTCTGTTTATCTCCTGTCTTATTATTAATATTTCTGTTTATGAACAAAATATAGGAAACTATTCCTTTCTTATCAAATAGCCTCAGAGAAACTTTAACCAGTTAAGCCCCCTAGTCAAAATCGATCTTTGGTAAATAAACTCATAAAAGCAACAGACTTTATAAATATTTAACATGCAATTACTCAGGATTATTAAATAAACGCTATTGTCTGTATTTCAATTTCTCCTTTTGCCCCAATCAGCTTTTGTTACAGTTTTAGTCAATTTCTAAGAAAGAAAAGTAAAAAGCAAATACATAATTGTAAATCTATGATTTACCTCGCACAGCCTATTTCAAACACTTCCTTCTTCTCGTAATGAAGGTGAAGGTTAATATCATCAGGAGCCATCGTGACAGCATGCACTTTTGATATGATATGGTGAGAATGGCACTTCATCTCTCTGATCTTCTACAAACCACAAGCCCATGCAAACCATAAGGAAAACATTAGACAAAGTCAAATTGACGGACATTATATGAAACACCTGACCAGTACTCTTCAAAACTGTCAAGGTCTCTAAAAATAAGGAAAATCTGCTCTCTAACTCTCATCTGAAGACTCTTCCAGAAGAGGTCTGGTTACAGATAGAATAACGAATGCTTTGGTTGGAAGGAATTATTGTGCAAGCAATTTTGCAGAGCTAAATGATCCAGAAGAGAGGCTACAAAAAAATATGGCTATATGAGTATAAGGCACAGCTATTTTCTGTTTAGTTAATACAGAAAATTTAGATACATTGATGCTTCTGTATTATTTCTTAAAACATTTACCAAATGCCTACTGGGTGCAAGACACTTTACTAGTTGATATGCTGAATACAAAGGTATACATTATTCAATCAAGCAGGATAGGAATAGGTACATGTTGGAACTTGAAGCAATCCCAGCAGTTATACAGTTTTTAGCCTTTCTATTTTTGCCTGAAAGTCTTCAATGGCTTATTCAGAAAAGACAGACTCAGAAGGTGTAAAGAATTTTGTCTCAGAGGCATGGTATCCAGACTGCTGATGAGGAATGTGACAGCATCAAAAACAACATTGAAGAAGAGGAAAAAAGAGGTTGGCTCAGCTGGACCTGTGACTTTCAGAATGCTGAGTTACCCCCGATTTGCAAAGCTTTAATTGTAGTTTGGGGCCTACAAAGTTCCCAACAGTTCTCAAACATTACTACCAACATGAAACCCCAGATGTTGGAGTTGTTGGACAACAATTTTAAAGCACCTACCGTGAACATGCTTGAAGAGACATAAGGTAATCTGTTTGTAATAAAATAAGAGATAGAGAATCTCAGAACAAAAAGAGAAACTATGAAGAAGAACGAAACGCACATTTTACAAATGAAAATAGAATTCCAGAACTAGAAAGTGTACTGAATTAGCTAAATAGCAGAATGAAAACAATAAAAACCATCCAGTCTGAAGAAAAGAAAGAAAAAGAGGTTTTTTTTTAAATAATAATTAAGAAAGCCTTAGAACTTGTGAGACAATTTCAAAATGTCCAACACTTAGGTAAATGGAGTCCCAGATGAAGAGGACTAAGATAATGAAGAAGAAAATAATTGAAGAAATAATGACAGAAACCTCTCAAATTGGGTGGAAGATATATATTGACAGATTTACAGATTCAACAACTTCAACAATCTACAAACGGGGTAAATTTGGAGAAACTGATGCCTAACCACATTATAATCACATTGGTTTTAAAAAAAAGACAAAAATTTAATTATGAAAATAACCAGAGAAAAAGATACAGAGGAACAATAATTTGGAAAATGACATACTTTTATGAGAAATCATGGAGGCTCAAGTCTGTGGAACATCTGTTAAGTGCTGACCAAAAGAAAGATTTTTTAAAAACCTGTCAATGCATAAGTATATATTCAATGATAATAACCTTCAAGAATGAAGGTGCATTTAAAACATATTCATATAAAGAAAAACTAAGAATTCGCACCACCAATCCTGCAGTACAAAATATGCTAAAGGAGATTCTTTCTGATGAAGGGAAATGATATCAGGGAAATACAGATCTTGAGGAATTGAAAAGAACACCGAAAATGTGATAGAAATGTCTAAGTACACACAAAAGATTAGTTCTTTTTATTTAAAAATTGCAACACCATTTGAAGCACAATTGTAATATTGTAATGGAAAATTTATAATATAACACAACTATAATGTGAAGAACAATAGATGTAAATGAACATATATATAGTGAAGGTCTTACATTTTATGAGTGGTAAAATATTATAATATGAAAAGTTTCATATTTTAATTCTTAGAACAATTATTTTAAAATAATGCCACAAGGTATAACTAAAAAGTCAATAGATAAAAGGGAATTTCAAAACACATTCGACTATTGAAAAAGAAGTCAATAAGATTGAAACAAAGGAAGAAAAACCAGAGGGAACAAACTGAAAACAGATATGGTCGTATCAATACTTACATTAAAGGTCAATGGAATAAACACTCCAGGGGTCAGGGAGAAGACCTTACAAGCTTCCAGAAACGGAGAAAAAAAGTCATGCCATGAAGGATCAGAATGACATCAGACTTCTCAAAAACAACATTGGAGGCTGTGAAACATGGAATGTTGTCTCCAAACTTCTTTTTAGAAAATAGTTATTTTTTACCTAGAATTTTACACAAAAATCCCAAACTATTGATCAGATATGAAGGTAGAATACAGATGTTTTCAGATATGCAAAACTTAAGAAATACTTCTCATGAAGCCTTTCTCAGGACTGTCCTGGAGGATATGCTCATTCAAAAACAGAAAGAAAGCCAAGAGAAAGAGAAATGTAGCAGGAAAGAAACAAGGGGTCCAATATAGCAACGGAGAAAAGGCAAAGGCCAGGACAACAAGCAAAGGAGGCAGAGTATGTAACAGATGGTTTCTGAAGATTCCTCTTGAGGAAGGTGACAATAGTAAAGTTATTGATGAATGAAGGGTTTTAGACAACTGACAATTCAAGGTTGAATCAGTGATAAGTACATAAAAAATAAGAAAACAAAACAAAAAGCAATTATCCCTTCAGGGGTGAGAAGGAAGTTGCATAAGAAGGAATAGTAATGTTTGTGCAATATAAGACTCAACTGCCATTATCTTTGACGTATTTGAAGTATTTAGAAACATTGACTATTGGCACAACTGAAATTCCAATATACTAGTATTAAGAGTATGAGAAGGTACTTACTGAGTAGTGACAAGAAGTAGTAGTAATAGAGAGCTAAATCCTAACTTTTTCAAGGGGGGTGATTATTACAAATTGCTAAAAACCTTTTTTAAAAAGCACCCACATACATGCAGACACAGAGGTAAGTATAAATGAAAGTAAGGTGACCATGGCCTCAAAAATGGCTGAGAATTAATGTAGGGAACCAGCATTACCAGGGATTTATCGGCTTTTTTAGTAGTAAAAAACAAAATTGATATAAAAGTGATTAAGGCATAAGAAATTATAAAATTCCTGAACCATAACTTATAAGCTTTTGAACATTTCTTTACCTTCATTTGAAAATTAAGATAATTATTTAAGTTAAAACATGTAGGTGACCAGTAATGATATATTGCCATTATATATTATAATAATTTCATATATGATGAATAATTTATCAGTATGCAGGTAGGACACACTGACTTATTCATTCTTGCAGTATGCTCTATGTCACCTACTAATATATATGTTGATGTAAATAAATATTGAGCAATGGTAAAATATAAAAAAGTCTGAGAACATGTCACAGTTAAGAGGAGGCTAAGGAAATTTAATGAGTAAATGTCACTTGATATCCTGAATGAAATTCTGGAACCAAAAACAAAACACCGGAAAAAATTAATAAAATGTAATTAAGCATGAACTTCCATTAATAATAATGTAGTATTGATATTGGTTCATTTATTGTGACTAAGGTACCACAGTAATGAAAAATGTTAACAATAGAACCTGGGTGATGGGGTGTATGGGACTCTCTTTACTACTTTTACAACTTTTCTGTAAATCGAGCACTATTTTAAAATGAAAAGATTATTTCAAGTTGAAAAAATAATAATATTAAGTGATAATCTGGGAGAAAATCTTTGTAACATAATAGGCAAATGATTCGTGTCCAGAATGTAGCCTACAAATTAATTAGAAAAGCGTTCAGAAAAAAATAGAAAAGTGAGAAAAGCACCTGGACAGGCTGACATAAATACAGATATCCAATAAACTTGAAATTATAGTAAGCCTCGGTAGTGATCAAGGAAACAATATTAAATGACTGCCTTCTATCCATCATGTTAGCAAATGTAAATTGACTACATTGAGGTCAAAATTACAGAAACTACACTGCTGGTAGAGCTTTCAATTATCACAGCCTCTTTGGAAAGCAATTTGACAGTATATATTAAAATTATAAATGCTTATACTCTCAGACCCAGAAATTCATAATATTAGTATCATTATTTACTTTCCATGCACAGTGGCATGAAGGCAGGTACAGAAACGTCCACTGTTGCTTGTTTGTAGTGGCAAAAACATTAAAACTATGCACACATTCGTGAATAGAGCAATCGTTACACAAAATAACCTATATGATAGTATCTGTTTACTATATGTATTATACATGGAATGTTACAGTTTTTAAAATGAGGCAGATCTATATAAGCTAACAGATATCTA